TTGTTTCTACCACAAAAATAACATTTTGGTGAAGTTACAGCGAGTGTTGGATGAAATGTTTCTTGTTGATCTTGAGTAGATGATTGATTTGAAACACTTGAATTCACGTATGAGTTAGTCATATAGTATTCTGAGTGTTCTTGAGCCATTTCTAAAGATCTAGCAGATTCATGTCCTTTTTTAAGAGATAAAGTATGTTCTAATAGTCTTTGTCTTATATGTAATGTGATGAGACCACGTATAAAAGAATCTCGTATGTTTCCAATGCATCCATTGCTGACCAATGTCGGATGAGTGTATATCAATTTCCAGTCGCTCTGGCTTGAGTAGTTTATCCATAGAATGATTTTAATTTTAGTTTATTAAATTGTTATAAAAGAAACCTTCGGAATTAAGGCTTTATTAAACTAAAATTCCAGTACAGACATTTCTGACATTGACATACGCTTGACTTCGATTTCCTAGTATTCGCGGGTGTCAATTGCTTAATCTCCTGGCGAATATTTCCTTTGCTTTCTTGACCGAAGCGAAACATTTTTTTATGTCGTGCCGCTTGACAGCTTTAAAACTGAAATAACTTTTAGGTTGGGGTTGACTTAGTTGCCATGGTAACTAAATAATCAAGTCGAGGTCAAGTTAAATCAAAAAATAAATTTTAATTATTTAAACACAATTTGGTGTGGAATTTTCTTACCGAATACCACACGAGGTCAAATTAAATCCGGAAATTTTTTCTCCCTCATGAATATTTTTAGAAAATTATCCCTCGTCTTCGACTCGGGATAATTTTCAAAATATTCATGAGCTCGAAAAAATTTTCGGAAATAATTTGACCTCTAGTGGTATTACTAGTGACTATTTCCCTCGTCTTAATTTCCACCAATCACAAACGCGCAATTTTGAATTACAAATGGTTTCTAGGTAAAAAAAAACTGTGTGACAGCACCTGTCAGCAGTTTTTTCGAGTTTACCCGCGGCAAAACTTGACAGCTCTTGTCACCAAAAATTGCAATTTATATTTTAATTGTTAACTGTTACTCATGAAATAGTCTTGTCAAATACCATTCGGGATCAAATTTTTCCTGTGAAAAAAATCGAAAAAACACAATGCTAAGTAATATTTTTGAACAAAATGCAGGTGCAAAAATCCTCCTCTTCGACTCGGATTTTTGTTGCCACCAGCACTCATGCTTTTTGTTAAAATATTACTTAGCAACGTGTTTTTTCGATTCTTTTCGGAAAAATTAAATGCCCTTATGATATTACTTACGAAAATCCAATTGTTGAAGTTCCAATTTCCAAAACACCTTTAAATTATTTTTGTAATCAAATTATTATTTCCAAATCCCTATTACCCGTTAAAACTCCTAAAATTGAAAAACCCTTTAAAGGCAAATTACGCTTAAAAATTGGTTTTACAGAATATAATTTTAAAGAAGAACTTATTCATTTTATCAAGCAATATATAGCACCTAATGTTAAATATGGAATATATTTTAAGAACGATTCTTTATATGCCCCTTTTTGTAACATAACCAAAGAAATATTTAAATACTTACCCTTCTTTTAAATTTATAAAATGTATTAATATCTTGGCAGATATAACCGATGAAAATAGCCAAAAAGAAATTATACAAAATCATCACGATAATAAAAATCACAAAAGCATTAACAAAACGAAATTAAATATTCGACAATTTTATTATTGGCCAAATTTAGATAAAACTATTACTGAATAAATAAATAACTGTAAACAAACTAAATATCAAAGAAATCCCCTTTAAATAGAATTTAATATAACACCAACTCCCACAAAACCTTTAAAAATATTACATATGGATACTTTTCAAATTGCTAATACTAAATTTTTAACTATAATTGATAAATTCTTCAAATTAGCACAAGCCTATCCACTGAATTCTTTAAATGCCCCAGACGTTGCAGAATCACTCCTAAATTATTTCAATCACTATGGTATCCCTGATTTAATAATCAAAGATCAAGGAACCGAATTAAAAAAACAGTTTTATCAGACCTTTTTAAATTGTCCAACTTGGTTCATCAGGTCATTCAGAATCAAATTCACCAATAGAAAGGTTTCATTCGACAATTATAGAACACCTACGTATATTAAATACAACTAAAAATTATCTTAATATAAAATAACTAATGCAATATGCACTTCTCGCTTATAATAACAGTATACACTCAGCTACAAATCATAAACCAATTGAAATAACTACTGGAAATTTTGATAAGAATTCCATTTGAAATCTCGTTTATATACCGATTATATACAAAATCGCAAAGAAATCTTAAAAAAATAATTTATGATAAAATTAATAATGATTCTTTAGAACACAAAACTAATATAATTCATAATTTAAATAAAAAAAGGGAACAATTCGGAAAATAGTAAAATTTTCATAAAAGGAAAACAAAGACAACCTAAATTATCCAATCCATATTCCCCTCAAATAATTCAAAACTTTGATCCTATCCACAAGACAGTGACTATAGATAAAAACATTAAAAAACATATAGGTGACATTAGACGACCGACTAAACTTCAACCCCTGTTGCTGGTACTGATACCGACTACACTGCCATCGACGACAAGCCAGGACCATCAAATAAAATTTAAAAATCTAGAAAATAACGCTAAAATACTACCATTTTTTATCGGAATTTCATATATTATCAATTACTATGAAACATTAATATTTTATAAAGCCTTAAAGCCTTTAGTAGACGAAGTAGATAAAATACAAATTATATTTTACATCTTGAACAAAATCTTAAAATAATTAAGCATCCAGATTTTTATTGTAATGTGGGAAAAACCAATCTCTCCTAACAGGTATATTGAGTCATTGTACCAAAGGTGTCTTAACAATGCTTATTAATTTAAACTATTACTAAAATAAAACATGGTTGCAAGTCAGCAATGCGTCACTTGTCGTTGTGTTGATGATTCTGCTAATTGATCGGTATTTCGGAGTTGCAACCTACTTTATGTTTATAATAACTACATATAATTGCTTAAGCAATTTGTGTTGTAATGACCTATTGTCACTACACCTCCGGGGGTTGTAGGAAAAAAATAAAAAAAACTTTTTTTTCTTTTTTTTTCTTCCTTTTAATTTTTAATTTAGCTTAAACTAAATTCTTACAACTAATAAATTTACAGGTAATAAAATTGTCAGGTTTTTTTTGCACTTTTATTGTTTTATTACTTTTTCACCCTGTTTTTATGCACTATTACTTCTTTGTTCTTATCTTTTAACAGTACATTTGGAGACTCATCACGTAACACTTTATAAGGTCCCTTAAAGAGTTCATTTATCTTGTTTGTGCTATTATTTTCCACTAACACTAAATCTCCTATATTAAAACTTATTTTAGAATTACGATTATGCTTAGATTGGTCAAACAAATTTTTCCTTTTTATTTTTGAATTTAAAAGATTTTCTCTCGCCTCTGCACTTGCGTGTTGTAGCCTAAATTTTAATTCAAGAGGATAGTTTTCGAACGAATATAGTGGATCTATTTGTTCTAAATTTGATGGTAGTGAAGCTACTCTGCCAAAAACAAGGAGTGTATTTTGGTTCTGTGTTTACGGTGGTTTTATAACAAAAACACCAAAAAGGTACCCAACTACTCCATGTTTGAGCATATTTTGCTGTTTGTGTTCTCAAATAAGTACCTAGATTTTTATGCGAGTTTTCTATGCCTCCTAAAGTTTCATAATGGTATGCAGTCGAGTTAAGTTGTTTGACACCAATAATCTTACAAGTTTCTGAAAAAATTTCTGACATAAATTCTGTACCCCGATCGTGTAGGACCGTTTTTGGAATACCATAACGTAGAATAAAATTATTTACAAATGCTTTTGCTACGGTTTCAGCTTCTTTATTTTTAATTGGATACGCTTCTACATATTTTGATATGTCACATTGAATTGTGAGAATATATTTGTTATTATCTAAGTCTGTTAAAATTGGACCCATTAAATCTAAACTTATTTTTTCAAATGCTACTGATGCTGTTGTTGTTATGGTAAGTGGTTGAATTTTAGGAATTGAGTGTTTATATCTCTGACATTCATCACAACGTTGTACAAAAGATTCAACGTCTTTGTGAAGGCCTGTCCAAAAATAAGATTTTTTAATTTTGTTATACATTCTAGAAATACCTGCATTTCCTCCGGTTGGTAAGATGTGAAATTCGTTTAGGACTAATTGGCGTAATTCAGGATCTTCTACCGCGTAAAACTGTAATATTTATATTTTTATCGTCTAACAGATCGGAATGTTCTTTTAATTTCTTTGCATATGCTATTACTTTATCATTATTTTTAATTATTGCAAGCTCATTAATATTATTTTGTGTGCACACTTTAGTGATTGCTTTTAGCGATGACCGAAGCTTACGCGCTAAAATTGCATCACTCCATTTTAAATAAATTATTTGCAAATTTGATTTTATTAAAATATTTTTATCGATAATTTCCATTCCGTCTTTATTTTTTAATTCATTAAATGTATGAAAGTCAATTAATTTAGTTCAGTGGCGTTTTTTGGTTTATTAAGTAACTCAATGATTCCTGGGTGATCAATTTGTTCTCCATTGGTTACAATTTGTTGCTTTTCAACATTTTTATCACTTAGTTGTTTACTTCGTGCTCTTGTTATGACGTGTATAACACCGTCTGTATAATTTTTATTTTCTTTTAATTGGTCAGATGATATTTCTATTCGCGACAACGCATCAGCAGTAACATTTCATGTACCTTTAATATAAACTATTGTAAAATCGTATTCCTCTAATATAAGTCTAAATTTGGTTAGTCTACTTGAAGGATTTGTCATGTTAAATAAAGAAACTAGAGGGCGATGGTCTGTTTGAATGGTTCAGGTTTATCATTTTTATTAAATAGGGCAGCTCCTAGAGCTGTTCCTGAGGCATCCGTTTTTAAGGTGAATGTGGTATTTTCAGATAAATCTGGATAAGATTGGATTAATTAATTTTTGTTTTAATGTTTCAAATGCCGTTTGGCATTCTTTTGTCCATCTAAATGGTGTATTTTTCTTGATAATTTATTTAACGAATTTGTAATTTTAGCAAAATTTTTAATAAAAGACCTGTAATAGTTTGCAACTGCAACAAAGCGTTTTGCCGAGTTTGCATCTGTTGGAACCGGATACTGTTTCACTACGTTAATTTTTTCTGGGTCGGGTGCAATACCATCAGCTGATATTAAATGACCTAGATATAATATTTCTTTCTTTAAAAATTCACATTTGTTTGGGTTTAGTTTACCTTGACATTACTTTAACTAAACTTTTATTATGATTTTCAAGACTATTTCCAAATACTATTAAATCGTCTAAATAAATAAAAAAAATTTCGTAATTTAAGCCTGACATAGCAATAGTCATGGCTCTAGAAAAAACACTGGGAGCTACTTTGAGTCCCATAGGCAATCTTGTCATTTGATATTGCCCATAGCTAGTTGTGAAAGCTGTATAGGGTCTAAGTAGGGTGACCGCATCTCATAAGAGGTGGAAAAAAATTTCGAAATTTTGTTCGTCTGGACCCCACAAAACGATTCCCCTTTCTAGATATTAAGTTAGCCAAAATTTGAGCTCGATTAAACGACGTACATGAGTTGATTTTACATAGTTATCTAATCTATTCTAGAGCTTTTGTTAAAGTAGTTTTTGAAACGTCCGGATATAATGCTCGGCATTTGCTTACAACTTGCAGGACATATTGCTTTTGGCCCTCATCTTTAGCGTGGTCTGATGGTTCATCTGTGCTACTGACCAATTTATTAGCCATTAACAACTTTTCATCGTCTGTAATGGTGGGATCAAAAAAAGATAATTCCACCAACCATTCAAATACCACAAATGATTCGAAAATTTGGTCAGGGCTATTTCTACAATGTCGTTGTCACATTTTTAATAGTCTAACAGACTATGCAAAATACCTAAATCTTGTTGAGAATCAACTGCAATAGCACCTTGTAGTCATCTCTGGGGTGGCTCTCAGTTAATTTGGTCTCGAATTCAGCAGTAACATTTGCAATTACTTCTGGAGTTAGCTGCTTTTGTATTAGATTGTCACTGATACCTGTGTCGTATTTTCCTTTGTCTATCTTGGGCCACGCAGTGAGAAATCTGGATGATGTCCAGTTGTTGATCCCATTTTTGTGTCGAATACGCCTTTTATCAGAATTTCCATGATATGGTGACGGCAAGCTAGGTATAACAATGCTCTTTCTAACATTTGTTCCAATATGACGCATGCTCCTTTGAGTCTTCCCGTATTGGATGCTGTAGTGTCGAAGCACATCGCCTTGACGGTGTTGAGAAGACCCCATTCATGTAGGCATTCATTATACGGCTACGGCTTGCTCCTCTCCAGAGCTGTTTGCTGTTACAAGAACTCCCAGCAGCTGTTGCTTTTTGCCATATAAAATAGCAATAGCCATTCGCTCACATTATTCATTTTTACCCAGTAAAAGTTTACCATCCCAATGGACAACCACGGGCTCTTTTTCAGGAATGTTTAGTTTATCAAAATTTTTTAGTATATTGTTCTCTCAACATTTGCCTTCTATAATGTAATGTTTTCGAGACTTTGTACTCAAGAGGGTCAAGGTTTAGTGCTTCTAGAGTAGCTATTAAAATTCTCGTGGCATTTCTGTCGGATACCTTACATCGATCTAACAAAATGGACAATTTCATGTTTAAAATCTCTTTAATGCCCCTTGCAACTTTCATCCTCTTTCTCTCAGATGGCCCTGGATCTTCTACAGCTTCTTCAGGTATGTCCATTTCCTCCAAGCTCTCAAGTTCCTGGTAGATGCTGTCCTCTTCAGTGTCTTCTTCGATGTTTTCTTCCGGTCTTTTTGAAGAGTTCTCCACTCGGCGTGAAGTTTCTCCAGCTTAGTAATTGCATCTTGCTCATGTTTAGTCGGAATTCGAGCTTTCTCCCAAAAAATGAACACTTCTCGTATGGCGAGTTTTGCTGATTCTCTTACAGTTAATTTCACAGCACGTAAATTATAAAATAAAACTTGACGATTTGAGAGTAGTTTACAACCGGTCATTTGGTGAATGGGATAGCCCACAAGAAATATTTTATCCTTGGTTCGGCTTTGTACACCTGATGTGGATGCCATTTTATCCGTAAAACATAGATTAATAATACTTTTCTCCAATCTACAGCCGGCAACGCATAAACTAAAGGCATACCACTCTATAGACCTAATAAAAGGATTAATGCAAATAATTTTATAAATTAAATATAATTACCTGATTTTTTGTTAAAATTAATCTTTACATTTATTTAGTAAACTACACACAGGTAAAACTAAATAATAATTTTTGGAGCAAATAGTAAAAATAATTTTTAAGAGCCTTTTGTTTAAATTTCTTTTATTATATATCAAATAATATCAAAATATTATATAACAAAACATTATATTTGAACAAAAGGCTCTTTTTGTTTGAAAATTAAATTCCAAAATAGTTTTTAATAAAAAATGTTTATTCCGAGACACATTATGTAAAAACCCGTAAAACTCTTAGAAAGAAAACTGGCTCCTAAAGCTGCCAGGGCACGTTTTTGGAGTCAAAGGCTGTTGTAACTCTGTTTGACTTAAAATAAAAACAAGTATGTATAGAATATAAATTTTGAAGAACAACATTAGCTTTCTTTTGAGATATTAAGCGTATTTTTATTATTTACCGTTCTGGAGTTATGGCTTCATATGTCAGCTTTTTGACCAAAAATTTGGATTTTTTCAAACTTTGAGCGACGAGCGGCACGGGTTAGCGTCGTTTAATCGAGCTCAAATTTCTGGAAAGGAGAATAGTTTTGTGGGGTTCAGACGACCAAAATTCCGACATCGATTTTTGCTGTCACCCTAGTCTACAGTCTTCATCTAATTCTATTTGATAATAGCCTTGAGAAAGATCTAAATGCGAAAAATACATTGCACCTGAAAGAGAATCTAAAATTTCATTTATATTTGGAAGTGGAAATTTATTATCCTTTAACTTTTTATTTAATAATCTAAAATCTATAACAATTCGCCATTTCTTTTCTTCACCAACGTTTGCTTTTTTCGGTACGATTAACAAAGGTGCTGACCAAGCTGATTTTGTAGGTTCAATTATTTTATTTTTGAACATTTTGTTGATTTCTTTATCAATTTGTGACTTCTGAGCATATGGTAGTCATATGGTTTACAATATGTTGGCGTTACGTTATCTTGTAATTGTATCTTATGTTTATAAATATTTGTTGTTAATGGGTCATCGTCCAATTGAAAGATATCAGCATATTTCGCACAAATTTTCTCTAACCTAGTTTTTTCTTCTTTATTTAAATGATTAAACTTTAATTTTTCTAATACTTTTTCCACTCTACTAACTGTCATTTTATCAGTTTTTCCGAATAAGATAATTTCAAAATCGTCGGCATCTAACAATTTTGGAACAAAATTTTGAATTTCTACTTCTTTGTCAGTTGTGTTTAAAAATTGAATTGAAATTTCTCCCTCATTGGAAGTCTGCGCAATACTTCCGGCTACAAAGATTCCTTCTCCAATTTCTGCATTGCATCTATTGGACTACATAATTTATTTACTTTAAATTGTTTAATAATTTCGCAACACGGCGGTATTTTAAAAGAATGTTTGTGTTTTGATAACATTTGTAAACCGACTTTAGTGTTTTGAATATAAAATGCTAATCTTGAATACTCATAATTAATTGATACCTTAAAGTTTTGGAAAAAATCTGAACCTAATATACCATCTATATTTTTGTCAAAAGATTTTATTATAATTTTTTTTTTTGGATTGAAAATTTTTCAAAATTTAATTTAATATACGCTGATCCCTTCGATTCAACAATACCCGATATGCCTGAAATATTTGTTTTATCTATGCGGTTAATGTTTTGTAAATTGTCTACTATGCTTTCTTTAAAAAATATACTAACAGATTCTCCAGTTACCGTACCTTATTTTAACGAAATTTAGACCATTTATACTTAAAATTAGTTTTTTAATCGCGTTGGGAACGAAAAAACTGGTCACCGCGTTCGGTACTTTCTTGCTCTCTTGCAACTAGTAGAGCTTCCTGAACCCCTTCTAAAATTACCGTTTCCCATATTATGATTATTGTTATATCTATTATTATTACTAAAGTTATAATTCCTTTGATTATAACCGCTATTATTGCTATTGCTTCTAGGATTATAACTACCTCTAAAATTATTACTATTGCCTCTAAAATTTGACTTATTTGCGAAAAATATCGAAGGACCCTGTTTTTCTAATGAACTTTCGCATCTAGCTACATTTATAGCCTCGGTTAACGATTTAAATTGACGAGCTTTCATAGTGGATTTCGAATACCGCGAGCAAAAATGTTAATTGCGGTTTTTTCGTTATCCGCTATTATCGTTCGCCTGTGATAAATTTAATTCCGCCATTAACGACTCAATTCTTCTAACGAAGCATTACCGTATTCTTCTAACGAAGCATTACCTTGCTTCGCAGCATGAAACTGCGCCGCTAAAACATCCGGGCTTTCGCGAGTAAGAAAATTCGTCTTAAGATCACTTATTAATAACTCAGTAGAGCCATATTGTTCTTTCATTCTAATACTATCCTGAGAAGACAAACAAGCATTTAGCACAAAATTAACAATTTGTTTTTTACCTTCGTCATTTACGCTGGGAGCGTAAAATTTTATACCCTTAATTAGTTTTCTATCATCTAGGGATGGCAGCAAGCTAGCCGCGGTTTTAAAATCAAAATTTGCCATATTTACGTTTTTTGTTTGAACAATCTTTACAATATTTTTATTTCTTTCCTCTACAATAACCGAACATTCCTCTATGTTTTTAAAAATTGACTTAATTAACGCTAATATAACTGGTTCATCTTTTGATTTTTTATCTTTTTGTTCTTTTTCATAAAATTCCCTAAATTTTTCAGATAACTCTAATTTTAATAACTTACGATCTACAATGTCCTTATCTTGTCTTCTCGCCTCGCTGTCTTTTTTCAAGTTAACTCCGAATTTGACGATGTCACTGTGTAGTTGGTCTAGTTCTTCTTGTAACATCCCGCAATTCACTTTCACTTTCTAAGGGTTTCTGGTGGTTCCTTGCGCGATGTTTAGGAGTTCACAGCTTCTGGCTATTTCTCTTTCTATGCGACGGTTGACGTTTTTATTTATTTTCTTCCAGCATAACCAAAGTACTCCTACCAGCAATATTATTGTGACCCCAATTGTTGCTAACGTATGCATCTAAAGTTTTGGGAATTTTTTCATTCATGAATTACAGCTTTTTGATGAGCACCAAACAAGTTACCATTGTTCCCAATTATTCGTTACTAAGCAACCTTGATATGTCAAAAAACATTAGTTTAAAATTTCTCAAAAACATGTCAACAACCTTGTTGG